CTCGCCCGGCCCGCACCTCGCCCAGGGGCTGTCTGGATGCCCGAGATGCTCCCTTACTCCCGGGAGCCGGGCCCTCCTCGCTCTCCAAGCGCACCCCGGATCCTGCAGGTGTGCCGGCCTGGAGTCGCACCGCGGCTCACACTGGCTCCCGAGCCGGTGTCGGTCCCTCGCCAGCAACCATCGCGCACCACAACCCCCGCTTAAGGACGCGCCGCGTGCCTTTCCGGGTGGAGCTGGTCTCGATCCTCCGAAGCTCAGCCCACCACCCAGCCTGCCCGAGTCCCGACGCGTCCCTCGGCCCACGGCGCTTCAGGTGACTCCACTAACACCCGCGACCATGGATCAGCCCACTCGGCGTCCCCTGTTCTCCGGAGCCCTCACTGTCTGGAAAGGGAAGCCTCGCGCTCCGAGTCTCTGCCCCCGGATACACCCCGCGCCCTGAGAGGGAAATAGACTGAAATCAACCAAACGACCCTTTGGGGGATGCTTTCTCGCTCCCCTCTTATAAAAACAAGACTTTGTTGGCGAGGTCTAAGCGTACTCTGAGTGTGACCCGAGGGTCTGTTCCACTTTTTTGATTTGGTCTTTGCTTTCGCGGAAGGTGAGAGGGAGGGGGAGAGGGCGCGAGCCAGGGTTTCCAGGCGAGCGGGGTTCGGGGTGCGTCTCCCTGCCCGGCCTGGCCTCAGTGCCCCGCGGTGTGGGGCCCAGGTGGTCTATAACCTTTCGGGGAGCATTTTCACGAGGACAGTGAAGGATAGGTGACAATAAGCAGGAAATAGTTCCACAGAGTTTCTTCAGACAGTAACATTCCTCCTGAGACAGGAGCTCGAGAAGGGGGAGGAAGCAGACGCCCGGCTTCAGGGCGCCGCCGCGCGCCTCCGCATCCAACGCCTGTGGCTCGAACAAGGGTGTGTGGCCCCAGCCTTGGTGCCTTACGTCCATTTTGCACTCCCCTCACCTCCACACCCTCTGGAAAAAGCCACGAATCGGGTGAGGCACCCCATTCAGAAAGCCCTGCGCCTTAGCACGGGGGATCTCGGGGAAGGACGTCCAATCTGCGCCCTGCGCGAACGCTTCCCTGCCCAGCGCCTGGCCAGGCTCGTCCTAGCGCCGGGAATTGAGGGGGGAGCCGCAGGAGGGATCCCAGGAGCCAGCCCTGGACAGAGCACCTGCTGCCCGCGGGGGTGGGGCGAGGTCGCCCCCAGAGATGCTTTCCCGCCCCTCTCCAAATGGGGACTGGAGTCGGGAAGCGCAGCGCACCGCCTCAATGTCGCATTTCTCAGTTTCTTTTGTTGTCTAGGATGCAAGGAAAATGCCAGGGGGGTGGCCTGACGGGGGAAGTTTCCTTCTGGAAAGAGGCACCAAAAGGACCTCATTTGCTCCCATCACCCGGACCCTCCCGAGTCGCCTTCGACCGGGCTCTTCGGCCATGGGCTTTAGGGGACTTGTGCGTGCGTCTTTCCTGAGACATTAAAAATGTCCAAAGGTCATCTCTGCGGCCTGAGACCTCCTGAGCCCGGCAGGCCTCTAAAACCTCCAGTCGGGGAGCGAAGCTTAGCAGCTCCTTGACCCCTTAGAGGGGCGCAGACTGGCGGGTTCCCCAAATTCCAGCACTGCGGTTCCGATTTCAATTCGTCTCCACAGTCGGGAAGAAGCACGGCCGAAAAAGACTAACACTCCGGCAAAAAAAGAATGTTGGCTTTCAAACGTGCGCAGAGACATCTCTCCCCTCCAGAACTAACGTCAGGTGTCCCACATCGCAGCGCAGAAAGCTCACCGCGCGGCTGGGTCGGAGGCTGCAGGTTAGGGACAGTGAGGTGGCTGCCGCTGGGTTTTTCCGACTTCCACCGCCGAGTACTTTCCGTCTCTTTCCTGGGCCTGATTTTCTGGATGTTTGTCCCTTGGTTCTCAGGACAAGCGTCTCCTCTCTCAGGATCCCTTCAGTGAAGGCTGCCGTCCATGACAGTTTACAGTCAAAAACTCCCCCCCCAGCTATAAAGAATTCCCAGTTAATAACTAGGTGCGTCCTTGCGGGCTAGGGGACACGGCGCCCCCGCATGTTTCTCACGGGGTCTTTCCCCCCTTGGGAAGCCTAACCGCTCCAGACAAGCCAGGAGAGCCCTGACAGGCGGGCCTCAGAGCGCGGCTGGTCCTCCCTCCAAATAATTTAGGAGACATTTTACAAGAAACTGCACCACACACACACACGCACAAACACACACACACACTCCTCAATTCCCAGAGAGGCAGTTTTCGCCGGACACAACCCCCTCTCAAGCAACAAAACCATCTGTCTTTCGGGAGCAGGTATCAGCGGTGCTCAGGGGCTCACGGGCAGTCAGACGTTGGCGGCACTGTGCAACCCTGGCCAGGCGCTCCAGTTTCCTGATTTCATTTTTTCCTATTTCCTTAAAAGAAAAAAAATAAATTTCTCTTCCTATCATATCATTTCTGCTCATTGTAGAATGCACTACACACATTTACGTAGCATGTGTGTAGGTCTGCATATACATAACGTGTGTGCGTGTGTGAACGTGGTACCATCGGCCCTATCCCCACACATCCTCGCGTGTGTTTTCCTCACCTTTTCCAGTGTTGTCCTTGGGGTGAGCTTTCCTCCTACACTGGTGGTGCAGACTGAACCACAAACTTGGGAACATTTGTGTCCTAAATATAAGACAACATGTGCAGGGCATTGAGTACCAAATCATTTCAGTCCCCAGTGCTTTCTCTGTCCATCACACTGAAAGAAACCCCATGGATTTTGTTTTGGCTTCTGAAGTTCCACGACATCATTCTTGAGACTCCTCAGCATTGAAAGTTTTCAAAGGCCATTGGGTTGCCAGAGGGCATCTTTGGTTAGTGGAGAAGAGCAAAGACTTGTGTCTTTATGTTAAGGGGTGGGATTTGATTGATTGATTACTTAATGGAGGTACTGGGGATGGAACCCAGGACCTTGCGCATGCTAAGCCCTTGCTGTACCACTGAGCTATATACCCTCTCCCCAAGACGAGTCTTAAAGTCTTTCTCAGGACAGTGGCCCAGCCCTGAATATGGCTGACCCACTGTAGGCAGGGGGACTACAACTCAGAGCTTCGTGATGGCTCTCCCCTGAACTGCAGGCCAGGGTTGGCCTTTGCAGGTGTAGAATCAGATTAGACCATGGAAGTGCTTCAAGACCAAATCCATCCTCACTCTGCTTTCTGAACCACAGAACTTTGTCACACATGACAATGGACAGTCTCCTGACGGGAGGTCACACACTAAAAACAAACAAACCAGCCTGGTGAGGCCCAGAGCTTGGAGTGGTGACCTTTCTCCTTAAAACTCCAGCACGGTTGCTCCAGTCCCTTTGGACTTCGGGGCTGCAGGGGAGAAAGCTGTAGGCAGGGGACCATGGTCCCTTCCGTGGTGGGTAGCTTGTGGTCCTCCTGGATATTGGAATTCTCAGTCCTCAGAGACGGCAGGAATCCCTTTTTCCTGGTTTTGCTGGCGTTGTTGGGGGAGGGGCGCCTTCAGCTCTGACCTGACGCAGGAAGGGTTCAGTCCTTCTGTTTCTACCTCAGGGGCTGCTGTCAGCGCTTCCTAGCAGGATTTCTCGCTGCTCTCACTGTCTCTGCTCCCTCACCTCTTAGGCTTTTCTACCTGTGCTAGCTGCCTCGGGAGAGCGCTTTCGCACCCCTCTATGTCACTTCGCCTCGGTGCCACTCCTGGTTTTCCCCACCTACATTGCGTATCTGATTCCCTGCGGCAGCTCCAATTTCTGACAGTCCTGGCGCCCCTGTCCCTCACCACCTCCCACTGCCCTCCATCCTCGCTCCTCCAGGCTCTGCCTGACTGAGAAGGCTCAACAGCTATCTGAATTTATCTTCTGGTTCCAATCAATTATTGTCTCTGGAGCT